CTTTGAGTAAGATGAACAAGAATGTACACGTCTCTAGCAGCACACTGATGCACTTGGGGACATATCTCAGTTAACGAGAACGTACTGTCTGCGTGAGTTCCCTCTAGTTAACTTGCAAGATCGCAGCTGCCGCGAACTCGGTGATCAGGAATTGAAAATGAAAGTGTTCGCCATGACTGTGAAGGTTTTCAAGTCTGTACATAGACCTAGTAGGTAATACCTGCATGCATATACTACATCAGATTGTCACTTGCTTTTGTCTGTTGCTTCAATCAGATTTCAAGATTGGTTAGTCTAAGTCCTTCTACTACTACTACATACTACTTTAGGATTACTTTCAATTAGCTTATGACCGTAGACTCATGGTCATGAGTTAACTGACTCATCATCTAAGTAAATCAGCTTGCATGTGAGCGCTGATGGTAATGTCCATTCTAGCTCGAGAGTGAGAATGGTCTTACTGAAGAAGTGAACAATCTAGTTTTCAGAGATGAAATCCTTGCAGTGGCGGCGAGCATTTTAAGCGATGCGGTGCAAGGCTTTTGTAGTAAGATGTGCATGTTACTCGCATTCATTCCAGTGGTAATCTTGATACTTCTGAAAGAGCTCACATAATCCGAGAGGATCCAAGTGGTAACAAAGAAGGATATGGAATAGAATTCCTAATCAGATTAATGGGCAAAATCTGAACGTTTCCTTCAAGGACTCAATCTGAGGAGCATGTAACTATCACTTTCGTCGGCCTATATAGTTGATGTCGGAAACATGAACCGTCTTGCTCATGTTGTTCAGGAACCACTATTTGGGGATGAGCATATGACAAAATTTCATGAAAACCTCACGAATAGGTCAACCAGGAAAATATTGAGAGGGCTGGGCATTCAGTTGAAATTGCGAAATACAGTTGGAGGAATACAGCTTCCAGGAATCTGTTATAGGATACTAACATCGAAACCAACAACCTTGTACCAGTACGATAGATACTTTCAGATCTGGTATATGACATTATGTAACCCACATTCCAGACTGCTGTCGTCAACTTCCTGTTATTCCTAGAGTGGCTTGTGGCTAGCTATATATAAGTAGAGAAGGAACAAGTGGATTCAAACAATCCACAAGCAATAAGAGGAGTTGATATTATCACTGTCTATAGTATAGCACGAGATTTCTCTGTTTGTTAAGTAATCTGAAGACGTTGTTTATGATAAATTATACAGTAAAAAAATGATACCGTTACTGCTAGTATAGTACACTTTAGGTCACTCTATGAAATTGTGTTGAAGTTGATGTCCATAGCTCCATATAAATTTACTGAAAAGAAAGACAAGAGGTGAATTTTATGCATACACATATACTTGAGACTTTGATTGTTGATTTTCTATTTGCCAGCTATTTTGTCTGCTATTTTGTCAATCATCACAAAATTTTGGATCAGATTGGTATTCTTAAGATCTGTAAGCTGTGTACAAGGATCTACAATGCTAGACAGTAAGGGTCTACGGATTACGCCATTCGCTAGAATGGTGTAATCCGTAAGATATATCATCTCCGATGGTCATGCTATTGTGGCCTTGTCCTACACTACCCCTTGCTTCCAACTCTGTAGTAGAGTATAGTGTATTCCTAAGTCAAAATGTTATATAGATGGAAAGTAAGTTGGATATATCAAAGTATAGTGAATATCTTTTGTCTCTTGTCTGATTTTTTCCCCTTAAGAATTTGCTTCATCTACAATTGTTATTGCACGAGGCTTTCTTATACTGGTATCAAAATTTTCCTCTTGCAGCATCTCTCTTTTTCTGAAGTAGTTTCTAATAGAATAGTATACTCTGAAGTATAGTAGGCCTTTTGTTTCTCGAAGGAAAATTGGTTTTATTTACTTTCAAATTGTAGATCAACCCACGAAATCGAACGAAGTTGCTGGCTCTATCAATTATCCACTCGCTAAATTTATAATCAGCGATGTCAAACCTAGTTGGTTTGATAAAATGGCATCAAACTCTTAATGCTTTATACGAGGTATTTCATCGACGTGGTCGTTTTTCTCAGACGTTTCTTCCATCCTTCGCGAGTTATTATCTCTGAAATCATACAGAGAACCCGCCGACTGCAATTCTCGTGCTGGCAATAGTCCTTTGGTTTTAATGGTTCTGATGAAAACCATAATCTTAGAATTCAGTAATATCACGACTGCATTTTTCCCAAGGTCACGGCTGCTGAAGTGACTTTCCTTAATCAGGATCTGTTCTATAGAAAGTACATCTTTGTCTGTGATCTGGCAAGTCTCTTCTCCAATCCGAATCACGATCTGTGTCTCGGCAGCCTTGCTAGATGAAAGTACGCTGCGTTCATTACGCCACCAGCGAAGGCATATAAGAATTTTAACAGGTCCATTTTCTGAAGCTCACGTGCTTATCAAATGTATCATCCTATAATTATCCGTCTACAGCCAAAGTACTCGCTTTTTTGGTGAACTTTGATCGGAGAGCTTTCTTAGTGATGTTGCGCTCCTGTTATTGACGGCTACCTAAAGCCCCTCGTGTTTCCCTATAAATGTCCCTGTCAATCCTCCTCTTGAAGGAAAGTACTGGCTTGGTGAACCTTCGATAGGGATGTTAGAGATGCACTTTCCTCTCAATGATTGCTGTCCTTTTCCTCTAGTCAGTGCCCATGTCGTGATTGCGCTTCAATGCTTTCTTTGGTTTGCTGAAATGCACAAGGACGTGAAAATATGATCATGTCACAGTCGTGTTACGGTTTGCACTGCAAGCGGGGACCCGACGAAGCGCCTTATCTTCCTTCCCTGTAGAAACTCTCCATCCATCTTCAACGAGGAGAACAGCGTTCACAATCTTCCGTGAATAGCATGTGTCCAGAAGGAGGAGTGTCGAAGCTTGTGTCGTGGTGGTTTTGGGTTTCCTTCAGGAGAGTCTCGGTGAAGGTTCCTTTTTAGGAATTTCAACACAGTGTTATTAGAGAAGGCTATGGTCTCGTGGCAGATTCATCTTTCCAAGATATGAATTTGCTCATTCTGGACGCGATGAAACCTCACGGCTTTGGACATTATGGGGCAGGTGGAATCACCCACCAGTGGTTTCCTCGCAATTTAACCTCTTCTGCGATGAAAGAATATATGTACACAGGATCCCAACCGCCTTGCCAACGAATTAATTTCATATTATACAGCCAGCCACGCTGCTTGATATTCTAGAGATATATATTCGGGATCTGAGAGCAGTGATGGTGCAGGCTTCCTCACTCTGAGGTGCAGCATGTGCAGCAATACACTCACTAACTAACATTCAGTAGGAAGGTCTGATCTGCTCGGTCAGGGCTCTATTCGCTCTTCGACATAATAGACCAGAAATTCTAATATGTCCAAGAGATGGTATCCAGAAATCTCTGCTCTCATTCAACACTCAATCTCTGCGGACCCCAAAGCTTTCATCATACTCCCTGTGCATGGTCGACCAGCCGGGCCAGATGCGGTAGGAGAGCGATAGACAGGTATGGATCGATTAGCGAGGGCAGATCCCAAGCACTCGAGAATCCTCCACTGTTCTCCTGAACGAGTGGTTGATCTCGAACTGCGTCATCAAAGTGGAAGAATACATTGAGTCCGGAACAGCGGTCGCACGCAAGCATGCACTCTTGATTGATAAGCTTGCCCCACGATGGGAGCTACGTTTAACTACTGCAAAGGAGCACAACGTGTAAGCTCTAGATACGAGCTTCCTTGATGCACGATACTGGATCACTGTCCAGTAGCAGGGAGTTGGAGCGACTTGAACGGGTCACATTCGAAAGCGACTAGCTGAATTCGCCAGCTCGAGTATTGTGCATGAATAAAAAAGGAATAATCCTCCAATGCCTTAGAAGCATAGATGAAGATGTTGCAGATCATAAGTTTCACAGTCTGGCCCTGCATGTGCCGAAGAGCAGAATATGTGATGCGAGTATCTTCTCACTGTGCATGACATGCGAGTGAGGGACGACTGTCTGATCGAGTAGATTACAATGATGTCCTCTGTGAAGGTTTGTGAACGTGCCGGCTTGATCTGTTCCCATCTTAATGAATGGGATCAGCAGACTGCGGACATTGAAGTATATCCTTTGGAGAATCAGCATATGCCTGACACCAACATCCGCGAAACTCACTGTTTACGTGACATGTCATCTCTGCACATTGTCAATTGCAATGCCGTCCAATGGTGCAGCCACGGGCCCTTGATGGTGGCCTGCATCAAGCTTGAGGGAATACGAGAGGAGTTTGATATGTCGGCTTTTCGAACATGATCTATTAGCAGTCAAACCTGAAAACCTGCACCGCGCTTTTGTGGCATTCTCCATGGCGATAAGTCGACACCGCTCTGAGATTCCTCATCATACACTCGATCGACGATTCCGTGGCGTCCCACATGTCGGCAACTGGATGATATCAACACCGCGCCCACTGTTGCTGTTGCTTTTTGTCTCCTGCAGCTTTTATTGGGCCTTCTCGGCGATACTCGCCGGCCTGGATGGCTACCCGAGCATGACTCATGGCGCCATCAAACTATCAAATGAAACTGATCAATATGCTTACACTGCTGCACCCTCGAGAGAAGCAACCTCAGTAATTCCAGATGGAAACAAATAGTAGCGAGCAATTTGCTTGAGAACTGCGGTACATCTTTTCAATGACACGTTCGGTTGTGCTCTGTAGTTGAGGATATGGTCAATGCCACCTGTAAAAGATTCGCAGGCGTGTGTTACCTTCCTGTATCAGGCTTGATATAATGCTCTATCTGCTCTGTATTCTTGATCCCTCGGCAGATCAGATCGTCATAATACGGGTGAGTGCAGATGAATCTCGATAGCTGATGAGTGCAGATGAGAAACAGAGAGACGGTTGCAACTCGAGATGCTCGAGCTCGTTATAACGATGGCAGCATGAATGTGAGGTTGATTATTCGACCACCGAGAAACCGATCATGAGATTGTTCGTGGAATGGCATAGAAATGAATGAACGAATTTTATTGGAGACAAAAGAGCTGCGTTTGCAGAAGTGTGTACATGTATAACTGTGGCCCTACATAATCGAGAGCACTTCAATGTGAAAGTCTTAAGGTGAACATCGTCCTCATGTCGCTAAATCTCTCAAGAAATAAACTTACAGAACCTACGCGGACCAAATAAATATCGATATCGACACAAGATGAGGTTGAATGAATTATTATTATTATCTCCGATACGGACTTCTCGTTTGAATGTGCCGAGAGTGTCTAGAGCTGTACTGTTGCTCGGGCGAGGCATTGACCGACATCGGAGGCGTCCCCGACATATTCTGCCTCCTCTGCTGGCTAACCATCAGTCTCTCCAATGTCGACTGATGCTGATTCTGCACGGTCGACGACTCCTCGGTCGACATCTGGCTATGGGTAGACCTGGACCTGGGCACCGTGTTGATCTGAGCACTATCCATACTCAAACTCTGCTGCCCTTGCTGCATCAGAAACTGAGACAGATCCTCGTTGGACTTCTGGCTATGAGCAGATCTGGACCTGGGCACCGTGATCATCGCAGGCACTGCACTCGGTTGTTGCTGATACGAAAACATGGTCGAGTTGGTCGTCTCCGACAAATCCGACTCGCCGCTCTGGCTGCCTCTGGACTTGGGAGGAGTCGAAGCTCTCCGGCCCTGCGGGCTCGGATTATTGGTTCTCAATCCTCCTCGATAGCCCCCCTCGTCGTTGAAATCCTCGTACTGCTCGGCATAATTCGGCGGTGGCGACGGGGCCTCGTGATTCTCGTAGCTCCTCATGGCCTGGCCACTCGAATTCCCTCGGCTCGTATCGCCGCCGCCGCTATAGCCGTTGTCGTTCTGATTCTGATTATGATTATTATTATTGTGAACATTCCTCGAGCTTCCTCTGTTGGAATTCGGAAGCTGAAGCTGATGAGTGCGGTGATCGTCATCGTCGTACTCGTGGTACTCGTCGTTGTTTTTACGGACGTCGGAATTGCGTCGGCTCGAATTGGAGTGGCGAGATTCGGGCTCGACGAGATTTCTCTCCCGGGCATAGACTCGGTGGTGGCTGAAGGATTCGTCGACAGCGTTGGCGGTGGCGACGGAGGAGTTCGAGAGAGGGAGGGGGAGGGAGATGGGGGCGGCCACGGGCAGAGGATTGCCTTCGAAGGAGATTCGGGGCGAGAGGAGAAGGCCGTGAGGAATGCCTCGGCCATGGCGGTCGACCTGCATTCCGCTGTTGTGCCTTGAGGGTTCTCGCGAGTTTGCGCCCAAGGGTGGGCTCATGGTGCCGCCCCGTGAAAGAGGCTCGTCCACCAGCATGCCGCTGCTGTTGCGCGAGTGGATGCTCGAGTTGGGAGTGGTGAGACCGTAGAGCTCCTGCCTGTCCACCACCATGGGCCCGCTGTTGTGCCTGGACCCGTCCCACGACATCATGGACGGCAGATCCTCCATGTCGCTGCGCAGCCCGCTGTTGTGCCTCGAGGTCAGCCCGCTCTGCGGCTCGTTCTCGTTCAGCAGCCCGCTGTGGTGCCTCGAGCTCGCTCTCGACCCGTCCGTCACCATGCTCACCGTGTCGCTCGACGATCCGTGGCCCCATCCTGCGTTCAGCGCTCTCGACGCATGCTCCCCTGGGAAGTATCTCTCTCCCGGTGGGTGCCTGGGCATCTCGTTTCTGAAATCAAAATCACCATCGCCAACAACTTCGTGATTCTTCCGTCCATTGGCAGGCAATCAGAGTCCAGACCTCAGAGACCTTCCCGGTCCTCGTGGGCTTCGGAGGATGAACATCCAGCGCCAGTACAAGTCCAGGAGAATGCTCGATGCAAATTCTCCGACGGACCTCGAAAGTTTAAATCCACACTCATAATGCACATGCTGGATACGAACCGAACATGTTGATCATGACCTTATGATCGATCGATCGGTGCTGGGCTTCAGGCTTTGAAGATTTAATGCAGCTGAAGCTTCATGGCAATTCTAGAGTCCCTTTGAATTGACGCAATCTAATATCATGTGATCACCAGGCGGATGATAAGAGAGCTTGATAGATTACCTGCGATTGCCATTGGGCTGCGGGCCGTGGAACCTGGCTACGCTAGCAGTGCCCACGGTCGAGGGATGGTACTCAGCATAGGGGATCCACTCCGCTGCTTCCTCAGAGTTGCTGACCTCGGTCACGGAGCTAGCCCGACTCAGATCGCTGTCGTTGCGATACGGATGGCGCTCCGAGGCGACTCCTCGCTGTTTCAGAACGAGGTTCTGAACCCAACCACCACAACATCAGCTGATGAGTTGCTCGAGCTCACTGGAGGTGTGCTCTTGGACATATACATTCGATTCACTCGCAATTCTTTGTCTATGAAGGTGACTGAGGTGCAGTGCTGTACCTCGAATCTGAGCCGCTCGATCTCCTGCTTCAAATGCTCGAGCTTCTGGGCCGAGTCCAGGTCGGCGTCCAAGTCCGGCAGCAACGAGTCATCGACGCGACCGGAGCCAAGCTCGTAATCATCGTCGTGGTTTCGAACTGCCGAGCGATTCATGTTGCGGACCTCCTTGTCATGGTAGCGATTGAACGTGGGGTCGTACTCGAAGTCTGTGCTGACGGACGAGTGAGCGTCCTCACGTGAGTCGAAGCTCGAGCTTTCCAGAGATGCTCTGGACGGAGCGTGTGCTACTTTCCTCCCATTTTTCTTCAATCCTGGTGGAAATCTTCCGCTCTTCTCCGCAAGCTTATCGATAACTGCTAATCCGTTCACGAGCACAGAAGCCATTGAGTTTCTTCCGCTGCTCTGAGTCTCGAGCTCTAGCTAGAATCGAAATTATTCAAACGAGGACATTTTCATCCCTCCCTAGTTGACACGCGATTCATATCAACTCAAAATGCTCTGAGAGGTGATTGTAATAATTCACTCGAGCAGGGCGGCACTTACCACTGGGAGCAGATGGCGACTCTCTCCATGCGACCTGTGGCTCTTCAACTTGCCTCTGTGGTGTTGGAGTACGAATGCCATTTTTAGCGCCCTGTGCCTTCAGCAACTCCTGCTCCCGCTGCTGTTGGAGTGGAATCATGTATATGCAATGTCAAGGCAAGGAAGAGCCAATAGCTGTACAATTTAAATCCGCAGAATATGGTCGCAATCTCTCAACAAATAGCATTCTGAAACAAGTTGATTACAAAATTACAATTGAAGCTCTGAGTACCTGTGTCAACTGAATTGTCGGGCCACAGAGGGCCACAGATTGCAAATTTATCTGAACTTAATACCTCTTTAGCTTGAGCAGCAGCTTTCGCCGCTGCTTGTGACTTCGCCGACGTATATGTTGGAGGAGAGTTGTCAAACAGCGTTCTCAAAACTCGAACTCCGAGGCTGGGCTTGCTCACCTGAAGGACGATCAGTTCATATTTAATTTAAGTGGAATTTAATTCAGAACCGACCTCTGAGATTACATTGTAACATTATAATAGCCTACGCACTACAACATCAAATAACGAGGTTGAAGTTTGTTGGCTATAATTATTCCAGCTAAACGATGGATGGTGAAGTTGAAGAGATCTGAAGTTCAATAACTAGAGACTGGTTTTTTATGATCGAGTGTCCTTTACCTTCGGATTCGGTGAAGCTGATGGCGACACTCCTACGTCCATTAGAAGCTGCTTCAGTCTCGGACAGACAACCGCAGGGGGCTTGCCGCCTCCTGACGGAGATCTAGAAGGCTCGCTCCTTACAGCTGCAGAGCTTGCAAGTCGTGGAGCCGGAAGGGGTGACAGAGATGGATCCGACTGAGCGATGCACACTTTCACTCTCCACGCCTTAAAGGACTGCAAGAAATTAAACCACAGGACCGGCGTCAGCTAATGAGTTCTCTACGCCACTAGTTGCTGCCATGCTCGCACAGTCACTTCAGAGGCCTATGTCAGATCAGAGACCTTTCATCTATTTAGGCCAGTCGAAGCTTCTTGAGCATGTTATAATGTCGAGATGTTCGGGACGAGACGAGACGGGATTGATTTGTTGAAGGGCAGCAAAAAACGTGTGTATTGACAGCTAACAGGCAACGAATTCCCCGATCGTGACTAGCTAACCATCTGAGATCGAAGCATCTATCTACCGCCAGTGGACTGGAGCATGCAATGCAGCTATTGATGTCATTTCAATTTCCTTACCATTGGTGAAAGGAAATGGGTGCTCGATTGCTGAACTCATAAAGAACAAGAGAAGGGTCCTAAACTGCGTATCGACGCTGTATCAATCAAGTGACTGACAGGATAATCTAAGACAAGGGATGAAACTTCTCTTGATGAGCAATCAGGCGTTGGTTCGGTTCAATTCAGAATTCTTTCAATCAAAACTAGTGTTAGCCGAGACGGCAGCAAACTTGAACCCTTGTTCAGAAAGCAAGATCTTATAATGAAAGGGGATATAGAAGCAAAGGAGAACAGTCGATTAGCGGAGCTGACCTGGCCTTTGGGAAGCAAGCAGCGTAGAACCGGCACGTTCCCCAGAAAACTCGAATGTTTCCCCTGACTACGGAGACATGTCCTGAATCAATATTTAGCAACTGTCGACAATTGCTCAAGAGCCAAGGCGTCGAAGACTTTATGTCGATCTGGATTCAGAGCTGGACTTGCCAACATAACCTCAGCATAATCCTCTGTGCAAAGCTTTGTCCTGATTCGCAGCACAGCCTGTCCGCCCGTCTCCGAATTGTCTCAGTGGGACCTGATCGAACGCAACAGCGATTCACCTGATATAGCCCAAACTTGGCATTCTGCACAGTACTTGTCTCTTGCTCCGCTCCCTTCCCATCTCTCACCCAAAGCGAGTACACCTCCCACTCGAACTCTGCTCTCACTCCTCCTCCTTCTCACGCTGCTGCAACAAGGTAGCCTTCGTACACCATGTCGACGCATGAACCCATCGTGCCTTGTTGGAATCAGGCTCCAACAGCGGCTTTGCGTCGTGATCCTGCCACTGTTACCCTCCCTTCCTTTATTAATACTCTCAGCGAAATTTGTCCGAAACGAGGACCACGAGGGACCTGCCCTCCTGTTGCGCCACCACTGGTTTCCTTCTTCCCAGCCAGACCGAAGCAAATTCGCAGTTTACGCCACTGTCTTTCATGCTCCTCCTTCCTTATCCCTCCATGGCTTCAAATTCGTATCGAAGCCATTCTGTGGGCACGAATCTTTGCTGCTGTAGTTGACGGATGACGGTGGAGCTGGATGGAATGTGCACACGGGCTTGTAATTCTGAAAGAACATGTTGACAGATTTGACAGTAAGGAAGGATGTAGCATTGTAATACGGTATTGCTTATTGAATCACACCAGAGTCAGACTACATCAACTTTTTAGGAACACAGTTTTGTGTGAGTTCTGTTTGACACAGGTTTGAATTCTGATGCGAGTGATGGATGCTCGGAATATTTGTGTGATTCAAACTTGTGGAAATTGTTGTTAACCTCTTCAGCATGAGAGGTGTGCAGAGAGACACAGGATCCAAGGGCCAGTGGACTGTTGTGAGAACAAGGCACTTTCACTCTCCAGTTTAGGAGAGAATAGAATCGCACAACGATCGAGTGGATATACCTTATTCCCCTTCTTTCTCTCCCCAGTTCTCCAGGGTCAGGCGGCAATGGCCCCTCTTGGAATATTTCTTCGGGTAAGGAGAATTTTTATTTTTATTTTGTTTTTTTCTTATTCTGTGTCAACTGCACAATCATGGAGCACAATTCTAAGCTGCTTCTTCCACTGCCTCCTCAAAGACTACTATTTCCAGTCTTCGCTTCTTCAGTCTCCGAATCTTTTGACTCCGGCTTTATGCTATGCTGGAGCTGAAGGCATCATCATCGCCCTTCACCAGCATAGGACCTGGCCATCTGATCGTATTTGCCTTGGATGCTTCCGCTGTGCACTCTCAGAACTCCAGCTGAAAGTCCCTGGGATAAATTTATGTCCAAATATTACGGAATGACGACTTTCGTTGCAAATGTATCTGCCATGTAGAATGTACTTACCGCTGTCGATGCCATCAGCCTCCTCAAAGCTCTCGCAAAAGATTCTCTTCAGTGTCTAGCTCCGCATCTTTTCACAAATCTCCAACCATTCTTTACGTGGACAAGATGTTGGATGGGCAAAACAGTGAAGTGATTGTGGTCATCATTTGTGCTTTCGCAGCTGACTCGCTCTGCCGTCATTCATATCTGGTCCTTAGCCACATGTCTGCTTCAGAACGATAGGTTCTTCCACTTTCAAGATACGGCAGGATCAAAATATTGTTACTACCTACAAATGAACGCAATGAAGGGAGTATTAGCACGAGACTCTAAATCTGACCTTCAACCCAAGCCGACACTCCTCCGAGTTAGGATAATTCGAATCATTTGTCAACATTATATTGAGCCCCTGACGAGGAGATGCCAAAGATCTGCCGACATCATTTTGGAGTCTGTGAGTAGGCACTTGGCTTTATGAACTGTATGGAGAAAGTTAACACTTCATCGCTTGATGGCTTTTCATTGCGTTGGCATTTGATTCCTTGGTATAACCGGGCCCAAATAATTAGGCGCATTAATACGCTATGGGGTCTATGTTGCGTCCCGATGAAGACAAGTTCTACATGTGTTGGCCACCATGTTGTATTTTTTGTGGACCAAGCTGCATAGTGAGTTTCTATTGTTTAGTTAATTGCATCTTCATCGTTAATAAAATGCCGACCAAGTATTACTGTGAGAAAATTAATCTTTACCTCAGTCTTTGGTTAGCTTCACCTGAACACATATAGAGCTCTCAAAGGGCTCTCTCTATGTTCATGCAAAGCCAACCAAACGATAAGTAGCTCGTAACCAGAGCTACATCTCTTACATGCTGATTACGTTTCACAGGACACTAACACTGTAATGAGATCATTCGCTGTGTGATCCGATCGCCTTTCGCTGAACTTAACATCTAATTATCATGACACTCCACATTCTTCGAAGATTGGGAGAAAGGGACGGCGATGAGGAAACAAACAGAGGCCAGGAAATGGGGGAGTAATAGCAGACTACGCGATTGGATGCAGATCGCATTCTGTCAACGAAGCTCTGGCAAAAGTAATGACATCTGTTGCACGCATGCATGCCTTTGCTCGATAATTAGAATAACGAAAATGTAACGAGAAATAATCATAATAAAATAATTTTAGATAATAGAATAACGAAAATCAATTCTTCCACTCTACTACTTACTCTAGCTATATTTTCGTTATTCTATTATAATTATCGTTACAATCATAGTAGAATAACGAAAATGTAGCTACTCAGCACTTCTCGGTGAGATTTGTCATTCTTCCAACATACGCAAACACATCGTCATATCTCTTGCGATCAGCACCGGACACATGAGCAACTGATTTGAGCATGCAGCGTACGTAAGAACTAAGAACGCGTTCGGTACGAGCGAGGTCACGTCCAGCCGGAGAATAAAATCCCTCATGCCGGGCACGGATCCATTGACTTCTGAGCCTGCATGGCACGAGAACGCAACTTGCTGCTGCAGATGTTGTCAACGTTGACAAGAGTCCGCGGATCGAGATTCGCTACGCAGACACTTTTGCGCATCGGCTGACGTCCTCGGGGGCCCCCCACCCCCCGGCCCGGGCCCCCGGCGCTCCTGTTTCGCACAGGCCCCAGTGTGAAACCGGATATCCGAGGTATAAGCTTTTTCTTCCTTCTCGGGACTCGGTCCGCGAGGCGCATACGGATCCGATCGTCGCATACATACAGTACTCGGAGCACACTGTACGTGCTGTATATACGCTGCTGTCGACCGCAGTCACCATCTCACTGCGACTGTGGTCGACTCTCCGGATCGATGACTGCGTATAACGCGTACGCAGTGATTCTCGTGCCCAGAAGAGCAGCCACGGGCCTCAGACCTGCTGGCGAACGACGAGAATCCAAGTATGGCGTGGGTGGAGTCGATCACTTTCAGTGCTGTGCGTGGATGAAGGAATTGCCGGTCGATTGCGTTTGCTGCTGGATAGGAAGTTTTCTGCAAAATTACGAGCAAGTGTCCTATTTTTTCGGAATTCAGTAAATCCTCTGTCCGCGGTTGGGGTTTGTGGTGTTGATTGCTGTAGCTTGGAGGTTTAGGATGAAGTGTTCTGGCCTTCTCTACGAGTGAATCGTGCTTGGAAAGAATTTATTTTCTCATTCAGGGCTTGCATTCTGGTGTAAACGGAGGAGGCAAAAATTTGAGGCGCCGGTGAGTAAATCGGCCTTTAGATTCGTTGATCGGTGGATCCACCGGCGTAGTGGTCGATTTTCTACTCAATGTTGGATCTGCGTTCTTTGGCGAGCTGCATGGGAAAGATTGTTTGTGAATAGCTTTGTGAGTGAATCATGTCTGTGTTTTTTTTGATGGATGATGTGGATTCCAGTCGCGATAGGTGAAACCCACTTAACCGGACGTGGTTTTAGATTTTTGTATGAATCTGTGAATTGCGATTTCATGCTCTGTCTGTCAGTATCTGTCGTGAAGCCATGGATTAGACCGGAGCTATCAAAGTGTGTTGTTTTTTTCCTACTTGATCTGAATTTTGATTGGTCTCGTATTGTGATGACAGATTAAGGGTGACTGACTACAGGTGGTGAAGGGGTGCTCTCAGAAGATCAGGAGTAGACCTGATTTTAATGTATTATGGTTTCCTCGTGAAGACTACAAATCAGAAAATTAGGGGAGAAACAATGGTGAGGCAAATCAGGAGCTTGGTCTCATCTTATGGTTGGAAGCAACAAGCTTGTTCCTTCCTTCAAGAGGTTATTTTCTTCCCTCTCTTCTTGTTTTCTGTTTATTGATCCTCAATGAGTGCATGTGTTTGACGGTGTTCACCCTTTTCTCGTCAGTCGTGTCTCATTCAACCTTTTTCTTTTTGGCGAATTTCCAGAGTAAGATTCCCTGGATTTCCAATGTGCGAACATATTCTAATGCTCCCCGGGGAAGACCAGGAGAGCACAGAAATCCCATGAACAGGCTTGCTGTGGCAGGCGTTGAGAGTATAATCGCCGTAGCTTCGGGAAAGGGAGGGGTTGGGAAGTCAACTACTGCAGGTTAATTCTCTGCTCCTAGTCATGTGTAAGCTTCTGGGCTTCTTGTTCTTCTGTTTATTTTTTGCTACAAATCAGTGTCGTGCTGACAGTCTTTATCTTAGACGCACGAATGACGATATGTGACACTGGCGCAGTAAAATATTTTCGAACTTGTGAAATTGTTTTGAAGCTGCAAAGCATGAAATATTCTGAGGATTCAGTGTTTAGCCCACTCTCATTTACTGAACAGGATATCAGTCTAGTATTTGCATATGCGGTCTAATGCATTTTTTGTCTTCATAACAAGACACAGCTTTTAATTCATATGAAGTGGTTTGTAATATCTCCATGATGTGTAGGTTAGAAAAAATGATTGTCACATATTGCTACCTTTGTTGTGCTGAGTTGCAAAGTTGCCCATATACAGTAAACTTGGCTGTTGCCTTGGCGCTGGAGTGCAAGCTTAGAGTGGGATTGCTAGACGCTGACGTTTACGGCCCTTCAATTCCAACTCTGATGAAGCTTCAAGGCCGTCCACAGCTGGATGCGGGTATCTCATCTCAGTGCACCTTTGCCATTACATATCAGGAATGGTAGCTACGAGTGCATCATGATTCACTAGAAAATAAATTAATGTATCCAGATGGCTCTTAGGATTGAGCTTTGTATTATTTGTTGCCTTGCATCGTAGTGTTTTATTGAAATCACTGGGTTTAGTAATTTCGCTATTTATTGTACACAACAGATTCGAAAATGCTTCCCTTGGAAAACTTTGGAGTCAGGTGTATGTCAATGGGGTTTCTGATGGACAAAGACGCTCCAGCAGTGTGGAGGGGACCTATGGTAGGTTAATGTACCGCCCGCTAGTTCTATTATGTACACTTTAGAGTTGTTTGAAATCTCATTCTCATTTGGCACCTCTGCCGCCATTAATTGTAGACACCCTATGCAGGTAGGTTGACCTTCGAGTTAACAGACAGTGTATTATTCCTGTGTTCGTACTATGCCATAATATGTTATATTCAACACTTTATCCACTTGTGAAATATTGATTCTGTTGCCTAAAGAAGTTGCTTGCTTTGAAATAGACTTCCTTGTGATGAGATCTTGTTTCAGTGGCAAAATGTCATTGCAGGTGATGAGTGCTTTGGAGAAATTGATGAGAGGTACCGCATGGGGTAAAATAGATGTCATGGTTGTTGACATGCCTCCTGGCACCGGTGACGCTCAGATATCGATATCCCAACGTCTACCGTTGGCAGGTTCGTTCTTCTCACCGTTAGCTGCTTTGTCTCCGTCATGAATGTCATCACCACCGCTCGCGGAGCTTGAAATGATGGAGTTTACTCTGTTCATCAAGGTGTGTTTTGCACTTCCAGTTACATCGTTCCACATCTGCAGGGATAGGCTCGTGGTTTGGTGTAAATTTAAGTTCTCAGTTTTGTTTTTTGTTCTTTTTAATCTGCTCACAATGACGATGTTTGTACAGGAGCCGTTATCGTTTCAACACCTCAGGATCTCGCCCTTGTAGATGCACGCAGGGGTGTGACCATGTTTCAGAAAGTTGAAATCCCTGTAAGATTCATGTCATTCAGTTGTTGTTACTCCTTTCTACAAGCTTTTGTGACAGAACTTACGAAAGCTCCAGGTTCGAATTAGGCCTGTGCTGGGGGCAAACCATCCAATCATTTGTCTTCTTATTGTGTGCACGTGGTCAACTCTCATAGCAATGTGAGCCGCTACTAAACCTATTGTGGATTGCAGATTCTAGGTCTCATTGAGAACATGAGTTTCTTCAAGTGTCCTAAATGCGGGGAGAGATCAGATGTTTTTGGTCATGGTGGAGCTCACTTGACTTCACAAGAAATGGGGATGGAGTTTCTTGGAGAGGTATAATCTACTCATTCTCTCTGGTTTATCTACCTAAATATTCGCTCCACTAAAATAACGCTTGTTGTCAGACACAGTTCGGGCTAATTAATCTTCACTGCCGCTTGCAGGTGCCACTGAACATGGCCATAAGAGAAACTTCAGATGAAGGTGCACCGATTGTTGCATCTTCACCAAGTAGTGAGATATCTGGTATTTACCGTGCCATCGCAAGGCGGATTGAGTGCAAATTGGGTGAATGGGCTTCTTCTGATGGTTCTGTAGGGCCAAGCATAGTGATAAAATGAGATTATGATTGAAGGGAGAGGCCACAGAGTGTTATGCACGGTACAGCTTGTAAGGAGATCACTTTTGAAGGGTTAATGGCCGATATCGTTCTACGTTTGTGTGGCGCTAAAATTACAAGTCCCTTCTGCGTTTTCCCATGGCTTCCTCTGTCCTTCAAGCATATGAGCTTGCTTAGAGTAATCATCTTCTACCTGAGACATCGTAGGAGGTTGGATTGTTGGTGGAGAGTCTCAGAATATACACATTTCGAGAAAGTATTTGCATTTTCATCAGTATGGATTTCTGATCCTTTTCTTAGGAGACGAAATTGAAGTCTTATTTCAAGCTATACCCTTTCAAGCTGGAAATTCACCTGCGCTCATTATAAGCCCGAAGCAGCCTTTGAGATATTGTTACTGAAACTTCGGTAATGGGCAGGGTCATGTGGATGAGTTAATAAACTGTATATTGGTAGATACCTCGAGACATCGAATTACTATCATTCAGGAGCAAAAATTCCACTACAGAAGAAAACCTCTTCAATCTCAAGGAGTCCTCTTTCTCTTTCTTCTATCGCTCTCTCCAGTTACTGAATTTCTTTATACTAGCACCCCTGGGCTAAGAATGGTGATATATGATTTTCAGACTATAACAGGCACACACCAGTAAGTACAGTTTCGTGCAGGTGTGTAATTGGGCTAGAATGAATTCTAGCACCGAGTTCCTGTGTAGTCAGGGAAAAATTTAGAAGTTTGCAAGTATCTACAGCATGAACCACGGAACTGAGGGTCATCCTTTATTATCGAACTCTCATCAATATTTTTCGTTGCATTTATATTTCGCCATCTCGTTTGAAACGCATGAAACCTTAGAGCAGGACTTGGTTCGCAGTACCATACCTTCCGGAATACCCTTGGCCATTAAGTGTATGAGTATGGAAGTGTGACACTTGCAAGACAAAGTCGTCCGAATCTGGACTGATGTCTCAGAAAAGGTTGAGCGCAATGATCAGACTTCTATGAGTACTCATGTGCACTTCTTGTCTTCGAGGTTTTTCATTTTGACCGTAAGTATTTACATAATCTCACCGTGGTTATCTGCTTCTAAGCTTTCTTATTTTAGGAAATTTTACAATCGTCAATGGAAATTTTACACTCGCAGCTCACTATACTGATAGTACTCATTGAGTTCAGGGTTGCCCACGTGGAGCTCGAATGTTTCAATTGTTCTAAAAACCCCCGGGTATGCAAATACTGTCACGTATTCTACTTTACTTTCACTTGTGTCACTCAACCCAGAACACAGTCGCTTGAGGTTTAGCTTCTGAAGGGCCTGTAAGTCATCAAGAGAATCTGGTAAACTCTCGAGACTGTCACATTGAAGACAGAGGTCCTGAAGCGCTTCCAATTCACCGAAGGATTGAGGCAACGATCGAAGCTTCCGGCACAGAAGGATCAATTCTCGCAACTGCTTCAGGCTGGCAATCGACTCTGGTATATGAAGGAGTTCGTCGCACTGCAACTCTAGCTTTCGAAGACCAACCAACGCACCAAAAGGATCAGGCAACTCCTCAAGTGCGTTGCATCGTAGGCTGAGGTCCTGAAGGGCAACCAGTTGACCGATAGAGAGTGGCAAGCTGACTAGTTTGTCGCATCCAAGGTTCAGTTCTTGCAACTGTCTCAAGAGGCCAATAGTTTCCGGCAGGCACTTCAACTGGTCGCAATCCAAGTGTACTTTTCGAAGATCCTCCAACCAACCGAAAGAGGCCGGAAGCTCCTTCAGTCTCTGGGCTACAAGCTTCAGCTGCTGCAGTTTCTTTAGGTTGCCAAAGTTATCAGGCAAAGACAGGAGGTTTCCAGCTTCCAGGTGTAGGAAGCGAAGATTGCTCAGCCCACACACAGACTCTGGCAAGCGCTCTATTTTGAAGGCCTTCATTGACAAGTACACAAGCGGGCTGGATTCTGGGAAGGATATATACTTCCCACTGTTCTGGCTGCTGAACACGACAACGGATCTAGGCAATATCACTTTGCCTTCTTCAAACTCGCAGTCCACCAATTGTAGAAACCGCAGGCTTTCCATATTGCAAATACTGTCTGAAGGAAGATGCTCGAAGAGATGTTCACAGCGTGAAATCCATCCAGATTGAAAAAGGAAGCACCTAATGCAAAGTTTCGGGGAAAGAAACTGACTAGAGGTTTCCTTACACACCACCTGCAACGTGTGCACGTTCTGCAGTGAATGGCAACGCACATGCTCGTAAGAAAGTTTCCACCTTGAAGTAATTTGGTAGAAAGACGAAAACTTGTAGATAAGCAGAACCCCGAACTGACTCTAGACGTATCAGTGTTGAAGTTGTGGATAGACGATTGTCTGTTGCTGTAAGATAATGACATGTACGACATTGAGATCTACCTTAGTGCTCAAATATTAACATTACTTTAGTGAGTGACGTAAGAACTATGATCAGGGACTTTTGGCAATTGCTTGCATGGATGAAAGTACCCCTCCTCACATTCTGTCTCCAAGTGTAAGATTTTGTGAAACTTCACAGGGAAAGTGGTAATCAAGGAAATAGCGAATCACCTTAATCTTACACTTGCCATCGTGTAAAATCTTTATGAGGTTTCCGACGCTGTCGACCCGAATCTTGAAGCCGTCCGTATCAGCCAGCGAGTGCCCCAAGCGCTTCAACAATTCATGGACCCTGATTGCTGAATCCTCTGGAACGTCAGAAACCAGTGACCGGTCAACCAGGGTTCTCCAGTGGAGAGCTTCATTCCCATACATCATACTCCAAAGAAGCTTCGCTTCGGATAACGTCCACAGTCTCTGGCCATGTCTCCACCCGTGATTCTCCACGAGCCTTTCTTGGAAAAATGTTGCAGCTTCTAAAAACATCTGCTTTGCCTCGGGCCGGAGATTGTCGTAGCTTATTTTCGGCAGCATCCACACTTTATCCAGTCCAACGGTCTCTCCGTGCTCTGCATTCACCAGATAATTGGGCAGCTGTTGCCACACGTCTTTGGAATTACACCCTTTCAGATAATTAGCTACAACCTCCAAGGTTAATGGCAGACCTCCACACTTTTGCACTACATCCTCCATGCACTCTTGCTGCCACTTGGGCAAAGGTTGGTTGTCTGGGAACGCAAGCTTCTTGAACAGCAGTTTAGAGTCCTCCCAATGTAAACGTTCAACTTCATATATGTGTATGCTATCGATCTTAAATAACATCTGTCGATTCTGTGATGTTACGATGTAGCGGCTACTCTCCGTAGAAAGGCGGCTGAGCTTTCTCAGCAGATCGATTTCCCTTTCCTTTTCTACATCATCGAAAGCCACCAGCAACTTCTTTCCTCTCAGCTGGACCAAGTTCGGTGCTGGCGCCATCTTCTTGCCTTTGTGATGCACGAAGCTCAACACCGTCTCCTCGAATTCTTTCTCGTCACCGGGAATCCGCTTGACGCCCTCAGCGAAAAGCGTGTAAGGAAATTCGTTCCATAGATCATTAAAAACAGCTTTGCAGAGTGTGGTTTTCCCAACTCCTACCATCCCCCAAAATCCCAACGTTCCTTTCTCCAATAGTTGCTGGATTTCTTCACCTTCCAGAGATTTCAGCCGACCGACTTGTATCTTGGGCAGTGCTTGCTCATCTGTTGCAGTTTTCTTGACCTGCGGCATAATCTAGCAAGATCAGCATATTTCTGTCTTCTACGTTCAAATTTGTAGCCAGGAAACAGCAGAAATCCATGCCCAAAATCTTTTGTGAAACAGGAAAGACAGTATATAGAGAAGCATAAAAGGTCCTCTAGCACTCTACGCATTCGTAAGATCTCGATACTACGAGAAGTTAATGGAAGTTACCTTGACTTGAATCTTATCAATGAAGTTTACTAAGTGCAGATACGAGGTGCTAGTTTTACTCGCTGGTTGACAGATTGAAAAGTGGTCTTCCTTGACAACGATGAAATCTCTACATCTTGCAGACGCCTCGTCAACTATGACTCCGAAGAAACCGTTTGGCTGGAGAGGAATAAACAGTGAGTATCCTACAGTGGAACAGAATCAGATTGATTGCAGCAAGATAACATTTATATATGTACATAAGAAACTTATTCTGTAAAGACTTTCAGTCAATGTGAATGCACGCATGCCAGCTTCTCGCATACTACCGAAAACAAGGGACCGCATGATAAATATGTCGAAAGGAGCTGCTATGCAGAGTGATTACTGAAAGTTACCAGAAGCGTAGGTAACGATTCACCCACGCCTGCGACTCTCCACTCGTACTTTTCACAAAGACGGTCAAAAACATCATTGAGTCTTGCCAAGTCTTTGCTGAACACCTTCACGTAGTCAACCAGCTCTCCTTTCTCGAAGTTGATTTCTTCTAGAACATCTGTGAATGAGCTTCCACGATGAGGCACTCCGAAGTAGAAGAGGCCTCTCAAGTTTTGAAGAAGAGTGGTTTCCGCTGGAATATCCTCACCAAGGCTCCTAGTTAGGTGAGCTTGTCGACAAATTTCTTTGACGATTATTCCTCCAAAACTGTGACCAACGAATATGACTGGTCCGGTTTTACCAACACCTGCCATTATCAGCTCGTGCAACAAATTTTCGGATACTTGAAATATGTCCATTCTCCCATTTTTGCTATCCTTTTTCATGCTGGCGTCGTAGGAGACTGCTATTATTCGCAAGCTAGGGTTGTCTTCGTGAAGCCACTTCAACCATACTTCTGGAGTATCAGATCGAGATTTCCAAGTTGATAGATGCGCTTCATGCGCAGGCCCTAACTGAAGACCATGGAAGAACACAACGTCGGTTCGTTTTCCTGATGCAGAGCTCAGCTCGTGAACTGAATCACTCTTCTGAACACATCGCAGTGTCGATTCTAGTCAAGGGAGAACAATCCTTACAGTTTTACTGAACAAGAACTTTGAAGTCAGATTCTGTCGTTAGGCTACCTAGGGTATGAGAAGGACACACTTGGAGTATATTCGAAGCATTTTATGCAAGAGAATTGAAATTTGAAAAAATGTAAAGGTCCTGATAGAAGGATTAATGAAGACTATTGGAATATCGTTATTAGCGTTTGCAGGACGCTTGGACTTGAGAGGAAGCTTGCACATGGTGATAGGATAAATTCGCATGTTTGCTGCCTAGAAGCATAAGGAAGAGAACAATCTCGAATGATTCTCAGCTCCTGCTCAAACTCACAGGCTTTATTGTGCAAAAAAACGACTGAAGACGGTAACAATCAGCAGAAGCTAATACGAGAATCAAGTAAAGCTTTCTTGTGTCAAAAGTGAGTGAGATTTCCGCACCTGCTTCCAACGACATTTCCGGAGGCTTTCAGCACGGGAGGGTTCAATTTCCTGCGATCTGGGATCCGGAGAGCATAGACCACGTGGGCATGGAAAACCCCTGCAACGAAATTAAAGAACCAATAAGTATCATGTTCATATTTAGAGGTGAGAGCTGCTCCAAGGAACCATGCAATGGAAGGTAAACTCTTTAACGCTTTAGAACAGCCAGCGTTGTAAAAGACTAGAAAAGATTTTCTTCGTAAATGGATACTTTTGTCCACTCAGACCTTGGCATTATCAAGCATGTGAAAGGCACTATGCCATTATATATCTCCAGGGCTGGTGCAACCAAAATTTGATGTTACACATGTATATCCAAATTAGTAAGTGTAGCTTGAAAGAATATATTAGCGCAAGCTTTGACCTTCAAGTAAATCTTTCTCCAAGGATAATTGACGGAATAAATGGCCTTTGTCTACTGCCTTCGATGAATTCAAGTCCTGTAGAGTCAAGTTTTATACTCGAGGAACTTGAGATCCTCGAGTAAAAACCTTCCTTCTACCTGTTGATAACTGTGCTTGACGTTCGGAATCAGACCTCAAAGAATGATAGAGAATAACTTCTAATGAGGTTCGAGGTTTAGCAGCTCAAGAATACCGATGTTCGCACAAGATGGTCGATCACTTCCTAATATGAAGGAATCTGGAACAAATGTCAGATTACAACACTTGAAGCTGAAAGACCACAGTACGCAATCCGATATCAAGAACATATGAGCTCGAGATGTAAGGCGGAATAGATTTTTTTCCATCGCCATGGCATATGGAAAAAAGACCTCGGAAACCCACTGCTTATCCCTCTACACTCGAACCTAACAAGTGCTGAAACATACTATGTACTTGAGTATTGGCGTGTTTCACAGCATTTGGCAAAGTCCAACACCATTCTTTGAGGTTGCTGAACTGTAAGTTTCGGGACAAGTCCCTGTCTTCACCAAGAAAGCAGACAACTGTCCATCAAACTCTTTTACGAATCAATCACATCTTCTACATATCTTCTCGAAAATTTAAAATTTTGTACTCACATCGAGGCTTGAGTTCGTGGATCCATTGTTGTCAATTTACGAGGAGAAACGGATCTGCTTTTCCAGTCTGCGCCGCATGGAAAGAGAGATCAGAGTCAAAGACAAGCAAGTAAATCTGAAGCGAGGAATCGTCAGTAGAGGCAACTGCAGCTATAACCGAGTCCTTCGCGAATCCATCAAGACATATATTTCTCACCAATGGGTCTCTTGTAACCAGATTAGCCAAGTGCCTGGCCGGAGGCCACACATGTCTCAGCTACAACAGAGGGTCTGAGCTGCTCTACCAAGCTGTCTTCAATGAACTCTGTAGTTCCCATCATATTGCCTCAAAGACGTCCTAGCAGTGATCTACCGAAACGCTTTGAAATCGTGTGGTGACAAGTTCACAGTCTCCCCAGTGAGACTGAACTTTGTCATGTCTGAAACTCTCGCAAGCACGCTGTTAGACGGGCTTGCGAGGCGATACAATCTATACCGACCTGAAAAGGGGATATGTCAAGAGTGACATATCCAGGTTTGGACGTGATCGTCGTTTGACCAAAGCAAAAATCAAGATGTTTGCTTTCATCAAACGTGGTTAGGGCGCCCTGGAGTAAAAGTATTGGAAGCTTTGTTTATCGGCATCAAAGGCCGATGCCTTACAACCTGGCTATACTCCGAAAAGCCCATAAATCAACCATACACAAAAATGAGATAAAAGAGGCCACTCACCACGCGATATAACTCAACAACTGTATAACTGCAAGCAGTGCGCGCTGACTGTCAGTGATCGGACATCACTCGGGACACTGTGGTCCGAGGAGTTATGCGAGAGTCAGAGCGTTGGTCATATGTCCACAACCCACGCGTTTCTGGAAGGAACACATTTTGCTCCAAATCAATTTATAGAACACTGTGCAGTGAGACTGAAGGCAGCTGTGACACGAAAACGTGGCGTGCACAAAAGAAGTTGAAGGTGGAACAGTAGAAGTTGAAGTTCGCGATGGGAAGAGGATAGAGCATGCATAAAATTTAAAGCAGAGGGGAAGACTGATAAGGTCTTTATGCAGCATCCAGACAGCTTCTATGTCCATGAGAAGAAAGTCTACCATCCAGTCCGGAAGGAAGAGGTCCACGTAGAAAGCAGAGAAGTCTGGGGGACCCCATCAAACCTTAGATGGATGTGCTTGTCAACTTGCGGTCAGTCATTGGTAAAAAAACAAGCACTCCCGGTACGAGGAAGGACCAAAATCTTATAATTGCATATAAAGCTTGCTCAAACGCTTTGCTCTATCAACTTAGATTGTTGAGTCCCTGTTCCTCTTGATGGCAAAAGAAGAGAAATACCAAAGCTCAAGCACATTTCGTATGACAGGAAAATGCCATAATTGATTGTCTCCAAGACTAGTTTGTGATATGCTGAAGAGAGACAAGTAATGAAAATATTTTGGGAAGATCCCTTCAAGTCTCTTCAAGCAAAAGGATGAGATTAAACTCTGAAGATATATGCACACAAGACATCGACATCCAACAAGACAACTCCAAGGCAACTCTCTCCGGTCAGATTCCCAAAAAAGCTCTAGTTCCACACCTATGATATACCAAAATGGTATGGACCAACAAGTGATCCCCTGGTACACACCAAGTCTCAGAGCAGTTGGTGCAAGCAGTCAAGCCATTTCACGTAACTTACAGCAAAACTTGTAATCTCAGACGCCGAACTATGGCATTGTCACACAGGAAACATGATTGACATTATCACTAATTTGATTAGATTGATAGAGAACGCGGGGAACTCATGAGACACACTAGGAAGACAGCCATGGTCTGTAAAACTTTTCCATCAGCCAATATTCCGCTTGGCATGGTCCAAGGTCTATCGTCGACGTCATATCCTGCTCTAAAGTGTAGGACGATATCCGTTCGTCACGTGTGGGGCCAGAGTGGTTTCATATTACGCGGGTTGGTTTCATGTACCCATTGTGACATCAAATCACTCTAAGCCACCCGTCTCTCATTCGATCGATTATTCACATGCCACCGAAGCCCGTCTGCACATTGCGTGAAGTTCCCTGAACGCAGAGTTGCAGATTCCCTCACGCTCATGGTGACTAAGCACGAGACTTTTTGACATTCGATTCTGAGGACGTGTAACAGAGCAGCTAATTGCGGAACTCTGCCTGTTCACAAATTCACAGAGGGGAATGTAAATGTAACACTGTGTGTGTGTGTCTTTAAACCCCTCGAAGTGAAATTGAGGGAGGGAGGACAACAATTGCCCTTCACAAAGAGTGTGCCTGCAGCTTCAGCCTGGGTCAGCCCCGAGACGAACAAATGGGCCTCTGCCGCGACACCGACAGAGTCAGTCCGGACCGAAAAGAAAACAGCAGACCCCTTCTTTCCGAAGATCGGCAGTTCACGATCATCCCCTACTCCCTCCGACATTCCAGGACGCCGCAGGCACACTCCCGACATTTCGAGAGAAGACAATGTCACCGGGTGAGATCGATACAAGAGCGATGCCAACATTGCAAAGCCGCAAGTACAATATTATAAACTCTATCGATCCTTCTTCCTTTCATCTTATTACAAAATTTATAGAATTTATATTTATATATATATATATACTGACATATTTTCCTGGATTTTTTTTCAAGATGATATGTTGTTTTATATTATGCACACATTATAACATGAGGTTATATTCATGACAGAAGATGGGTAGATCTTATGGAGATCTAGGAATCTAACCGCCCTGCCTGTCATCGAGATTACCATTACCTGGAGGGCGAGAAGAGAGCTTCGAGAGTGGAGGTCATGAAGAGTTTGCTGGATACTGTCGACCTTGATCGCGAGATTTGTAGCCAGCAGTTTCATGACTTTCACATCGTTTACGCACTACAGGAAGCTTTTCCAACTTCTTGTTGGACCCTGAGGCTCTGAGAATTCCAAGGGATTTAGCGTCTCGATACCACGGCCCAGCCACTTTTCTTATGCTTGCCGAATCGGAACACCGATTCGGCACCATGAGCTCAGCGTTGGGTGATGCAGGATTCGAACCTACGTAGAAACTCCCCAGCAGATTAGATTACAGTGTCCTTTCCATACAATCGACTAATATCTCTCAGAATCACTAATTACTAATTAGTGATTCTGAAAGATATTCACGGGGATTAGAGATATTCACGGGATTCACCCAGGATTACTAAGGATTACTAAGGGATCGTGGTTAATGCCCTACATCAGTAATAGATTGGCGGATGTAAAGTGCTTTATTGATCATCCATGCACCCATTTGAGCCTTTGCTGCTCTACTACTGGCTAAAACTGCCGCATCAAATATTGTTCCGTATGTTTCCACGATGCACGGCCACCTTGAAACGCACATGAAAGGTGCTTGTGGAAGAGTTTAATTCAAGCATCATAAATTGTGACAAATGCTAGGTTTTACCAGAATTAGTGGACATCTGACAGATTTTTTCCACATTTTTTGCAGACACACTTTCATTTCACCATAATAGTCTTGAGTGATTCGAATAGTTCCGTTCGAATAGAACTCAATGTGGAATAGCGAAAGTTCACCAGCAAATTCAAGCGCATCCAGATTACCAGATTCTTGTAGACTTTTCAACCGTCTCTGTCCAATCACATTACTTCTCCCGATATGCTGGAATAAAGCTCTTGCACCATGAAGCGCTTGACGGGACTCCTCGAAATCTCTTACCCTAATTTAATACTCCCCTCGATACTTCTCCTTCGAGCTCCCAAATGCTTTACAACTATCGGCGTGAGCGGGAGTTACTTGCGTCCCGCGGTCTTTATAACGTTTTGAATTTTGGCAGGATTAATTTTGGCAAAGTCGGGGCCTGAAAATAGAAAGCCAGATTTTAGTAATCCTGGTGTAATCGACATTAAGCCGGTGCATCTTTGGAAAGGTTAAATATTGTTTGACTAGTTTTCATAGCAGCTTCCAAATGTATTATCTCTCAGCTTTCATGTGGGTACCGGACACACTCTTATGAAGTTGCGTATATGCAGAAAGGAAAAGCGTGACCAATCATGAAAGTCGAGTAGGAGGGAGCCCTCAGAAAAAAGGATATGCCTAAAAAGATATTCCCTCAGCCCTCTGACAGCTTCCTTGCTTCCAGATTCCAAACACGGAAGGGTAACTCCCACAATCCCCGGGTACAATCAAGTGCAGCGCACAGTACAAGCAATGGTTGTCATAACAAGATGCAACGAAGAGAGTTCTGATACTCCTTTCGCCTTTCGCTGGTATCGACGCAATGTAGAAATGCTGGACTAATGATGGGCAAGTGGCACCCAAGCTGTACGCGACTCGACTCGACTTTCTCAACCGGCTCTAAAATTAAAGTAAAACATTGTAGAAGATAGTCACCGACTGCTTCGACACCGAGCCTCCGTTTGAAGTTTCTGGAAGGCAAGAATTAGGTTGACGTTCCTCGACGACCCCACAATGGCGAACTCCGACCAAGCGGATAGCTCAGTAGCACAATTGCCTTGCACCACGGGATACGATTTGACCGCCTCTTGTCTTGCATGTAGCACATGTGCAAGGATGTAGAAGGGCGGCAGTCATGTCTAAAAATGTTGATATTATATAGCTATCTATGAAGAAATAACCGATGCAACTGAACTGTTTACGAATGGCTAGCCAAAGTGTATGTTTTGGTTCACATTAATAAACTAGTCATAAATGCTATTATGTAATATTACATCTACACAATCCAGATATTTTTAAATGTGACCACCTCCAGGTCTAACCAATTGGCCACGTTTCGACTTTGATAACCAGTCAAAATTTTTATTTATCTTACTCCTCTTATTTTTATACTTCATAAAATGCCTATCAATCAATTTCATGTATTACTATTTTTTATTCTTTCATGATTTGAGGTCTCATACTTAGGTTTGAACTTTGTTGTTTTGTATTCTTTCTTGTACATAATGCTCAAGCTTTTTGATTGATAAATTTTTAAAAGTTAAGCTATCTCGCTAGCATTATGAAATTGATTGCATTTATATTTTTCAATGAGGCTAATTTATTTTTCACAAGAATGCAAATTTCATGGACTATTGAGAAATAAATTCTTATCAAACATCTTTCTGTACTGTGATATCGAAAAAGATGACCACTTCGGATGAAGTATAGCTTACTACCTATAAATCAGAACCCAATTGACTCTGGTTTCTAATTTGGTCCTCTGTTGAAATCATGATTTGAAAAAAGCCAATTTTTATTCAAAATAAATTCGGGTTATTAAAAAAAAACCTGGTTTCAACAATGGTTTTAATTGATTAAAATTTAATCGATTGTATAAGAATATTAATCAGTTCAGAACAGCGTAGTGAGTATAATTGAGTGTAGTAACAAGTAGCTAATGCTTCTAGGAATTCATTATCATCATCGGATCCATCATGCTATCAAAACCAGATTCTTTGTCAACATCTAATAATTTTCGCCTACGGATATTCTCTGTGAGCATGGCTAACTTTTCGTCCACGCTTCTTGGTTGCAGTTTGAATAAATATATATGGTAGATTGACTCACTTTGATAGTTTACATTTCAATAATTTTTACACTCAGAATCACACTAGAAGCGTATATCTTGCTATTAAGTTAAAGATACAGCAGCTACTCATAATAAATTTAGATTTAAATCCAGTTTTCTTGCCAATAAATAATTACGCGTTCTTTGAACCGGATTGCAAAAAACCTCAGGTTACCAACCCTTGTTCAAATGCGGGTCCCATGGAGCCTACCAAAACAGTGGATTTTACAGATTTGACCTATTGTTGTTGACTTATTGTTCATTGTGGACTTATGCATCAACTCCAATAATATGGAATATAAGTGGATTTGAACGGAATCCTTATCTTCCAACTGTCAACGGAAGGTAGCATCCATCGCCAATATAAAATTCCAATATAGACTTTTCGAAGAAGGTCGGTATATCCGTTGTCAGCCTTGTAGAACAAACGATGCCTGATCCGAGTGACGTTGCTTGAGGTTCTCATCATTCTCAAAGTGAACGAGGACGCATCCAGAAGAGTTCAGTGACGTTAGAGTCTAACGCCAGGCACTTGATTTATTACTTGATTTTGTCCCTGAGGTGGATCAGATTTGGACTTATTTGGTCATTAGTTGGGCCGATCATCTGTAGAATCACAACCTACCCCAACAACTGCTGAGTACATTCTTGGCCTCATTCGGTCGACGATCAGTTATAGAAATATGTATGTTTCTATCGATACGGACTTGAACAGGAAGCTTCTTTCATTCCTCTCAGAGAATCATCGAAAATTGTGAGAATCGAGCGTTCATTTAGGCTTTGGAACAATGCGAAAGAAACAATTATAACATCTGAAATGTGTTAATACCTTACGATGAATTCTGCACTGATGTAGACCAGACAAATCTAGGTTAAGCATGTTTTGTTTCACGTCCGTGCGTTTTCCATCTGAGATCTTCACAGCGATTGCGAGTGAGAAATTCACTGGCGTAGCTGACAGCAACTCTCACAAAATCGACTGAAGCGGAGGAGAAAAGAACAGGAGAGATTCTTCCATATATAATACAAAAAATAATTCCATCTACACAATCCAGATATTTTTTAATGACCTAGTACATAATGCTCAAGCTTTTGATTGGTAAATTTGTTATTGTTTTTAAATTCCACCCCCCCCCCCCCCCCACCCCCCCACGGTGCTTTATATCGGTGGACCCCCTTAAATGACTCAACACCTTTGGCCAACTCTTGGGGCGAATACCAGACTACTATAAATACAAAGCTACAAACTCAGCCCATATTTTCATCTGTTCGTGCCTTTAGCATTCGCACTGTACTGTAACTGCTGTACTTTTGGTTCTAACTGCCCTCTGTACACATCATGTCATCATCTCGTCCATTTCTCTGTAATTAAATAAAGAATATGAACGAACTCCTTTCAAGGAAACTGTGTTCTGGTTGGACCGTATCCAGATGCTTGTATTTGGATTTCTTTGTGTCATGGTTTTTCCCTCACTTTTCATGATTCCAGTCACCACGATTGGATTAGGCACACACCCACCCGAGCGTATATTTCACGCCTGAAAGTGCACACCAGCTAGACTTGAACGGGGATCTAGTATCTGCGCGTCATAGCAGAGTATGTGAATAGTGATGGTATGGCTGCAGACGTTTGTGTTCAACATTTTGCTCGGAACTTTTGTGACAATACTTTGAGAGAGAAAAATATCTCCAAGGTTCGTGATTTCTGTAATTTTTTTTATTGACGTAATTCTGCCGTCATTCACACACCTCGACGAAAAATTCGTCACGCTTTGTCGTAACAGTATCGATTTGAGGAGATTGATGTTTACTGACCTTTACTTCAACGCAGTTATAGTTGGATGGTGCAAAGAGCTCTGCGTTTTCTTTCATCTGATCCTACTCACGCGATGAAGCTCCTCTGTAGCTCTGTCCGTCTCACTGAGTTTCTCATCACCTTCGTGGGCTCTTTCG